AGGGGGATGGAGGAGGGAAGTACAGTGCCTGCACCCGAGGGAGTGGAGGGAGGAGGAATACAGTGCCTGCACCCTGAGGGAGGATGGAGGAGGAAGTACAGTGCCTGCACCCTGAGGGAGGGATGGAGGAGGGAAGTACAGTGCCTGCACCCTGAGGAGGGATGGAGGTGGGAATACAGTGCCTGCACCCTGAGGGAGGGATGGAGGGGGGATTTACAGTGCCTGCACCCTGAGGGAGGGATGGAGAGGTGTACAGTGCCTGCACCCTGAGGGAGGGTGGATGAGGGAAGTACAGTGCCTGCACCCTGAGGGAGGGATGGAGGAGGGAAGTACAGTGCCTGCACCCTGAGGGAGGGATGGAGGTGGTGCCTGCACCCTGAAAGTGGGATGGAGGTTCAGTGCCTGCACCCTGAGGGAGGGATGGAGGTGCAGTGCCTGCACCCTGAGGGAGGGATGGAGGTGCAGTGCCTGCACCCTGAGGGAGGGATGGAGGTTCAGTGCCTGCACCCTGAGGGAGGGATGGAGGTGCAGTGCCTGCACCCTGAGGGAGGGATAGAGGTTCAGTACCCGCACTGTACTTCCCACACCTCGGAGGGTCGTACAATTTTTAACTCCTCATCCCAGGCAAAAGTTATGAGATAATGGTAAATGCATTTCCTTATAGGGTGTTTACTCTGTCTTGGCAGACAGTGGCTGGTGTAAAAAACGAAAAGCAAAAGAAAAGAAAATAGTTTTTATTTAAAAAACTTACACAGTGAGTACATGAGAGAAAATGCACACTTCTCTATCTTCAATAATCAATTCTCCCCAAACATGCCACCTAGATATTATGAAGTAATTTGTAGAAATAAGACAAACCATCCTATGGTGGTACAACCCTCCTGTCATGTCAGTGTTAACTATAAGCTGTTGAGCAAGTAAGTTTATTTTGGTACAGGTATACATAAGTACAATTATCATAGTAACATGTGTACATGATGCGGTTTTCTTACCGAATGGTCCATTATTGTGTACAAGTTCTGTACATACATGCCTCTGATACCTTACTGATGATATGGCTATGCCACTTTCGTTACAAGTTTGGGTCGATAGAATACAGATTTAGTAGTAAGGAATAAATTGGTGGGGTGAAGTGGGATCCTGCCCGGGGGAAGGGGGGGGGGGTTGAGGGATGACTACTTTTGTATACTCATCGTAAAAAAATTTCTGGTATTTTTACGTAAGTTGTAATTCTATTGTCTATATGCCATGCATTCTTGTAAGCAGTACAATTATTCAAGTGGATGTATTATGCAGGCATAGAATTCTTTTTACATATCATGGAAATTTTTTGTAACCATGGTACAGGTTTATTTTACTAGGTAGCTCCATTATGTTTAGTTGATATTATAATGTATTATTTGCTGTGTATCCTAGGATTGTGGGATAGAGGCTTTGTTTTCACACACAATACTGATGTGTGCATGTACTATCATTGTTGTCTGGACGGCAGACTTGGTAACGCTGTCTCAATTTATTTTATATCTGATGTATGGATTTTGATAAAAAAAAAAATAACTTTTTGTTAATAGTTTATAATTTAATGTTTTGTGATTTTGGTGTTCATGTACCACCATTGTTTGTTAATACTTATTACTTAAGTTACTGATGAGTTCAGGATATACTCATAAATTTAAGTTGAATTAATATGATTCTTCAGATTGGTGAATGTGGGTATAATTTTAATGTGTGTGTAGGGGGGGGGGGGAAATGTCAGCTGTGTGTAGCACAGGCAATAGTAATATTTTGTATAATGCCGGGTTTTGAATGATACGTTGTGAGTCGTATTTCTGAGTGTCATACTGCCATTAAGTATGGTGTTATTTTCTGTGTTGGGGTTCAGATTTTTGGTTTTACTGTTCATAACCAGTATCATAGTTCATTTTATGATACTTTTATACCTCCTTGTATTTATGCAATGTTTTAGATTATATAAAAAAAAAAATTATCATAGTAACATGTATACAAATTACCTAGAATAATCCAATAATGTCATAAAAAGTGACTTATTGCCATTGGGTCCTTGAAAACTGAGTTTGCTGCCCAGAAATCAAACCCGGGTCGCAAGAATGGGAATCTTGCATGATACCACTACACTATTTCGAAAGGACTGTTGGTTCCTTTATGTTGTCTCATGAACACATTACATGACATGTAAATTCGACACACCTCTTACGTTCTATATACCATAACTTTTATTTCCTAAGTTTCTTTATAATTATTTCTGAAATATTATATTTCCTTCCAACTTCCAGAACTCAGTTTGAGACTGGGCTACTGGGGTGACAAACCCCCAGAACCAATAGTCTAACTGACGTAATAAGATGATCATATTATTAATGGTACATAATACTCACCATCTAATGAACAAGACACATGTGCAACACTTGGGCTCCTTATTGCCAAAATTCACCAATACTAAAGAACCAAGATAATCAAGTGTTGCATGTGTTTTATTCATCAGATAAAGTGAAACAGAATCAAAATTAACCTAAATTCTTAGTTTAGACTGGTGAATAATGCATAAACCTCTCACCTGGCTGAGATTTGTGATGCCCAACAAGAAGCATATTGCATCTAAAATATTTGATTTTCCAGATCCATTGAGTCCTGTGATGGCGTTGAACAGCGGATCAAAGCCATTTATTTCCGTCCGCTGCCCGTAACTTTTAAACCCATCAATCACCATACACTTGACATACATCCTGCACGTTTCTTCACGGATGAGACTGCAAAGAAATGTATGATATATCTTTGGTGTTTGCGGCTCACAAGGTTGAGAAAAACATCTTCAGTAGAAGCCCAACCATTTAATTTCCAGCTCGACACTTGCATGATCATTTATACCTCAACAACAGTGAAGTCCAAACTTAGCAATACATATACAAAATTTAAAAAGCCAGTCTAACCATATCTAAAACTGAAAATGCGTGATGGGATAACATCAAAATATTTGTCAATACCGATATTCAATTTCAGATCAATACCATCAAAATCTTTCGATACACACCAATACCAATAGTACTTAACCCGTAAACGGTCAAAACGTATATATACGTTCACTACCCCAGTGCCCCAAATATTTTGAAAAATAAAAAAATCGTTTTTTTTTTATTGCAAAAAAAAAAAAAAAAAAAAAGCACAATTTTCTAAGTGTCATAGGATAAAAAAAAAATTTTAGGGTCAGTATTTACCGAGATATGAAGCCGAGAAGTTGGCACTGGATGCTCACTTGACAGGAAAATACTACATTAATGCCAGGTATAGGTTAAGCTGTTAGGTAGGACAAATGTGCAATTAATGCAACATTTTACTGTGGCAATGTTTCACTCTCCAGGAACTTTGTCAAGCTGTGAGAAATGGCCTGACAAGACTCCTGGAGTGAAATGTTGCCACATTATTACAGGTTAGGTTCAATAATCATGTTGCAGTAGTGCAGACAGCACTACTGCAACATGATTAAGATAAGATCTGTTGATATTTTTAACCTCAGGGAGGAAGGGTTGACCCAGGATAACCCAGGGGAGGGTTAGCCACCCAGGATAACCCAGGGGAGGGTTAGCCACCCAGGATAACCCAGGGGAGGGTTAGCCACCCAGGATAACCCAGGGGAGGGTTAGCCACCCAGGATAACCCAGGGGAGGGTTAGCCACCCAGGATAACCCAGGGGAGGGTTAGCCACCCAGGATAACCCAGGGGAGGGTTAGCCACCCACAATAACCCAGGGGAGGGCTAGCCACCCAGGATAACCCAGGGGAGGGTTAGCCACCCAGGATAACCCAGGGGAGGGTTAGCCACCCAGGATAACCCAGGGGAAGGTTAGCCACCCAGGATAACCCAGGGGAGAGTTAACCACCCAGGATAACCCAGGGGAGAGTTAGCTACCCAGGATAACCCAAGATAGTCAATGCATCATGTCTGCCTTATTTCCATTGTGGTCCTCCAATCTTATCCCGCAGGATGCCACCAACATCCTCCTAGGTGCACGGTGACGGCAGGTGTAAGGAAACACGACCAATGTTACCAACCATGCTGGGGATAGAACCACGGACACACTTGTGTTGTGAGGCAAATGCACTGCCGACCAAGCCACAGGACACCCCACTGGCACAATCTGTGGCCCTACTGTGTCTCCCCACAGTGCCAGAAGCCTTAATGAAACATGTATTCTCAGGACCCCAATGGAAATAAGTCACTTTGTCTGATGTTTTTTGGTTATCTTGTGTAATTTACACTATGTATGATAATTGTACTTACGTGTACCTGTACTTAAATAAACTAACCAATACTAACTTAGTTTCTTATATATACTTACACTTATCTCTCAAACCACAAGTCTATCAACTCAAAATTAGTAATGAACGACTGTCAATAACAGTTGTTCATTATAAAAAAAAAAATGCAGCGGTGAGTTGCTCATTAGCTAATGAGTTAATACGTTAAATTGTTAAGGTTTACCTGGAGTTTACCTGGAGAGAGTTCCGGGGGTCAACGCCCCCGCGGCCTGGTCTGTGACCAGGCCTCCTGGTGGATCAGAGCCTGATCAACCGGGCTGTTACTGCTGGCTGCACGCAAACCAACGTACGAGCCACAGCCCGGCTGGTCAGGAACCGACTTTAGGTGCTTGTCCAGTGCCAGCTTGAAGACTGCCAGGAGTCTGTTGGTAATCCCCCTTATGTATGCTGGGAGGCAGTTGAACAGTCTCGGGCCCCTGACACTTATTGTATGGTCTCTTAACGTGCTAGTGACACCCCTGCTTTTCATTGGGGGGATGTTGCATCGTCTGCCAAGTCTTTTGCTTTCGTAGTGAGTGATTTTCGTGAGTAAGGTCATGTATAACAGTGTTAGGTTAAGTAGTATTATTTGTTGTGTCGTGGCGATGATAGTGGCCGGCCGCTGCTGCTGGGACTGGTGTGGGTGGCATCCCGGGGAACAAGATTAAACGACCACAATGGAAATAAGACAGGCCATCCTCGATGACGCAAGAAAGTTTACATAGACACAAGTACATGTAAGTACAATTATCATAGTGTAAATTACCCACCAGAAGAAATTATAATTATTTATTAGAAAACGTTTCGGTCCTGGGACCTTGATCTTGTTAGAAGTGATCAAGGTCCCAGGACCGAAACGTTTTCTAATAAATGTCAGTGTTTGCTTACGTGTCTTTCTAAACCAACAATTATCCTACATTATCTACCTTCATTTTTATAATAAAAAGAAGCGCTAAACCACAAGGGCATACAGGTATCTACCTTAAATGTGAAAAAAATAGTCAAGGTGTCTTGTCTAGTGAG